CACACAGCGTTCATAAAAATACAACTGGAATAACGCTGAAATGCGATCTCAACACACACGAGTCTATATGCTACAGAATATGAGACGAGGGAAATCACTCACTACTCGCTACAGAATTAATCAGCAGACATCGTCGTGAAAGAACCGAAAGTGATAAGTATACCGAAACGTGAGGACGCCACACAGTGAGATACCCACTATTAGTTAGCCCCTAACTAGTATTAGCTGCCCCTCCTAACCAACATTACCACACCAGTTAGCACCAACCTAGTATTAGCTACCCTCTTAACCATATTACCACACCAGTTAGGCACAAATGGTCGTTGTCGTAGAATAGCGTATAATATGTACCCGAGGTAACTATTTGATATGGTTAGGGTTAGGGTTAGGGTGTTAGGGTTAGGGTTAGGGTGTTAGAGTTAGGGTTAGGGTTAGGGAGTAGGCGTAGACGACATACTCGCCGACACCTCGGGTACTACATATACGACAACGACCCCTTCAGCACCAGTTAGCACCCGACTAGTATACCGCACTAGTTGGGTCCTAATTGCTATCAGCATACTAGTTAGTGCATAACTCGAATACCCAATACTAGTTAGCAGCTAACTTAAACGTGACCATACCAAGTAGAACGTAACTATAAATCCGACACTGGTTAGCACCATACTAGTATATGCCCCTGCACAATATTTCGTTAGCATGTAGCCACGCTTTTCTCCCATCCACAACACAAACACTCTCTTAATAGCAACGGTTTTTTTTTATAAGCCAGACGCATTCTTGGCAAAGGTTCAGTGTAGATGATGTTCTATAGCCGAGTACCTGCTTACTCGGACAAGTGTGCGATCAGCCAGCCATCGGGTAGAGCGAGGAAGCGAGCCGCGCGCGTGCGTGTGAGTGCGTGCACGGCCGCGCCACGGCGACCCACCAAAGCCTACCAAGATCTTACTGCTGCCCCGCGAATGACGAGGAAATTGCCGTCTGCTATTCAACTGTGATGTGATGTGATGTAATGTTGTGCGATGCGCTGTTGCGTGATGTAATGTAATATAATGTATTGTAATGTAAGTTATTGTAGTGTAACGAATGAGACGAAATGAGATGGAATGGAATTTATTGGAATGCATTCCAATGGAATGGAATATAATGGAAAGACATGGAATGGAATGTAATGTAGAGCAATATAACATAACGTAATGTCTTCTGTATATAACGCTGTTTCGTTGTTTTTCGTGTGCAACTAAATAATTATTTTCTGTTTTACTGTTTTTTCTAGCTGATTAGAATTAGAGCGAAAACACGTTCTAAATACTTGATAATATGATAAAGATCTACGATGCAATATTAATTGAATTAGGCGATATTTAGAGCAATAATTTGTCCTTATGCTAATCAATGTTAATACCTACATGATTGGCGGTCGTAATGCTGGGAAGTATGTATCGTATTACACGTCCCATAGCATACACGTAGCTACCATAGCGATGTTATTAGACCACTACTTTAAGTTTTACTTTGTATTATAATTCTTAATAAATTGTTATTGTTAAAAAAAATTGTTTCATTTTGCATATCATATATACATGGTTAGATTATTGTGCAGCGATACAAATGTACGCATGTAATATACATTCGCTCTACATAGTAGATACGAATAATATCGATAGTCGCATGAAGAAACAGTTTATGAACAATTAATCGTCATTTACAATTCTTTTCATATTTGTATTCGCTTTCGCGTGTCAAATATAATGCTGCAAAAATGGTAAAATAAGGACGATACGATGACAAACGTTTTCAACAATATCAAGAGAAAAGAATGAGAGAATAGACTAAAATCATAATTTGATAATAGAAATAAAACATTATATACCTGTTAATTTGATTAACTATAATTATACATATATGCATTCTGTTGGAATTGCACGAACTAATAAACGGAGTAATCGAAACGTGATAAGACAAATTCAAGTATAATTAGGTAACACGGAAACGTAATCTGTCGCCTACAGTCAATTTTGGCATATTGCCGCTCTTCAGCCTATAATCAGGCAGGGAAATTCGAACGTAATCAGTAAAAGTGGCTCATTAATAATGTTACAGTTATAACGAGTGGGAAAACACAATACAACATTCTCTATCTGTGAACAGAATAACTAGGTGACAGGCCGTATTACCAAAAAGTTCGAGCTTGGGCATCAGTTTAGGCCTTTGTCTTTGTTGCCACACACGAATGTAGGTGAACGAATCTCTACTCGTTCGTTACATACAAATCTCTGCACACACTCACCAGGCATAGGGTTCCCACGCGCGTATTCCCCAGATATGAAATAGGGATATATATATAATGCCTGGGTGCGGTTTAATTTCATCGAACAATCGTCGTTCGATTTTCTTTACCCAATTACGACTAGGTCATGTATGAAAACATGTACAAAAGCTGAATGCGGTAGAGCACACGTTGTGAGGCGCACACAATGGAAACTGAAAACCAGCGCATTTCTATGTAATTCTACGTGGACAGAAAAGGTCAACTATGATGTTTTCAAGCGCTCCAACAACGTTTCGGTAACTATTCATGTTTGTAGTGCAAAGGCACAACAGTATTACTAGATAATCATCAACACATTATACACACACATACAATACTATTCGAGGGCTTCGAACTTTCAGTAAATATAGACACTACACGCGAACCAGCCTGGCTGCCCCTTGTTATAGCTGGGCAGGTTCGTAATTCATCTGGAGGGTGAGGGTGGGGATAAAGCTAGTAGCTGTTCATATAGAGTTTCGGAAAAAAACAAACAGAATAAGAGCAAAATAAATGTATATTATCGTAGGATAAGTGTAAATCATCGAAAAGTTATCCGTAAAACTCTCATCGTAGACTCCCCCCTCCAAGTCAGACTGTGTACGATGACTGGGAGCTCCGCCCCTCCCCCGCAATTACTCTTCTGAGCCGCCATGTTCTTCCACCCACCCACTCATCTACACGCACACTACTATGAAATTGCTCATGCTACGGCTTTGTGCAGCTATACCGGAAAGTACCACGCAACACTGATGTCGGTTATTAACTACAGAGTTATCGGCTTTTATAAAGAGACAACTGCATTCGTCCGACCAACCATGGAATATAGATTACCGAAATCGTCTGTCCTTGAACTACCGGGCGCAACATGCCCTTAGTGCACGGGGTTACCGATTGTGACCGTCTTTCAGGTTCAAACCAATTCATCTATTACGTTTATGCAATTGCGACATTTTTCATGCCGGTTGCGCTTAATTTTTGCAGATAGAACGGTCCTATTTCGATAGAAGCATTAAATCAAAAACGACGATACTTTCTGAAGATAAAGTCGATACTAGTGACAGTGTCTGCATTTTAGTTCGAAACAATGATAGATGGCGAGGGTGAATGATGACTAAATGAATTGTCAATATGAAGATAAATTATTATAATATATATACATAATTATAAAGATATAAATAAATCGAAAACAGAATTAATAGCGAGTGATACTTTAGCGAAACAAAGGTGGGTACTTTTTTGCAATTTCGCTATTGAAAAAAATAAGCCCTCCATGCATAGCCATCTCGCTAAAACAAATATAGAGCATGTAGTAAAGGGATAACGCAATGACATGTGAATATAGTTGAAACCAACCCATTCGTAAGTCAATTCGCGTGAGTAGGTCTATATTTTTTTCTCAGCTTATAATATGCATTTTCTTCTCTACGCTTTGATAATAGTTTACCATTCGATTAGCACTGATGCATGTTTCGATGATTTTCAATATCGATATCTCACAAAATGACACGCCAAATACAACAAAACTATTAAAACACAACTGCCTCTTGAATAGAGAAGATTACAAGCGTGAAATAAAAGAATCATCACATTAACTTTTCAAGCAAGTGGTAAGTGTGTTTCAGTATAGTATTAGGCACGTACGTGTGATTTTACTTCCTTGGATCAACCCTGCTTAAAGAAGCAGTAAGCTCTTTTAAATTAAAATAAGACGTCGCACCGTGCACGCAGCGAGCGACGGGGACGAGGCGAAAATACTCGGACAGAATGGAAGCATCAGGACACGGAAAACCACCGCCCCGTTATTACCGTGATCATGTGATCCTCACACGTTCCCATGGACGAGAAACTCTTAAAGCCGCTCGATCGGTGCTGATTATTTGCAAAGATCATTGCGAAGAGCTACATGAGTGGATACGTCTCGAGGTGCCACCCGTAACCGCGACTGGACTGCCTGCACACACGCACACGCTTATATATATTTATTTATTTATTTATTTATATTTATGTGTGTATGCGTGCGTGTGAGCGCATTAGGTGATACTTCATTAGGAGTGTTCCCAACTTTAATGTCATTAATGGTTAGGGTTATGTTATAGGTTAGGTTAGGGTTAGGGTTAGGGTTAGGGTTAGGATTATCAATCATTAATCATTAATCATTAATCATTAATGATATCAAAGTTGGGAACACTCTTAATGGAGCGTTAGCCAATAATCCGCGACGTCAATGAATTCCTCGCCGTGCCAACTTCACACGCTCTCGGCCGTGCCCTCCCCCTTCCTCCCTCCTCCCTCCTCCCTCCTCCCTCCTCCCCCTCTCCCTACCGACACCAGCTCGCTATCTCCCACCCTATCCAAGCCGAATCCCAAACGAAAGCAATCAAGCTCAATTGAGTACGACGAGTTGGTTTGCGGACGCGGAAAAACCACTGCGGTGCACGTAAGACGCATACGCGCGCACGCACGCGCGCAGGGGGAACCGATGGTGAGATAATCTTCGTGACCATTGTGATGCGATCTAGCCCCCGACGTTGAGCCAGAGGGCAGTACCAACGGCGCGCGGCCGCCGCACCGCCCGCCGCACCGGCAGATGGCTAGCTGGCCAGCGGGGCGTGGCGATTCCGCCGCTCTCTCTCTCTCTCTCGGCCGCATCCCGCCCGCCGCCGCTGCCGCTGCCGCCGCCTGCGAAAGGTGATGACCTTCTTTCCGCGATATATAAGCGTCGGCATGGAGTAGAGGCCATAGAGAAGTGAAGTCCGATTGCCGTGGAAATACATATTATATCACTGCTGCCGACCGCCTACACCTGGGTACGTACGTACACACACCGGCGTATAGCTGCTGCTGTTGTTTGTGCATGGGGGCGGAGAGCGAGCGCTCCGGTGAATGCGTGCAAGACGGAGAAGCGAAATCCGCCGATCCGAGATCAGCGATGCAGCAGATGTAACGGCGATGCTGCTGCACAACTTATCATCGTGTCTGTAAACAATTGTGCACTTTTACCGGCTAGCGGCGTTTTTCTTCCGAGACGAGGATGACACCCGTTGTTCGTCGTCGTCATTGATTTTCGTCGCGTACTCATTTTCTCACAATGTTATTCGCATTATTTTCGCAGGTGACAACGTGCAACCATGAGGTTACTGATACTTCTGGGATTGGCGCTGTGCGCGGTAAGTCGCTAGTATATCTACCCGTGTGTAGCGTCACAGTATAGACTCACGTAGTAGCGTAACAACCAACTTTTCGTATATAATCGTATATACTAGTAGCGTATATAGGTATATGTATCGTAAGTAGCGTAACAACCAGATGTTCCTCACCGCGTCGCTTCGCGCTTCGGCGTGGCCCATCGTTTCATCCATCGACCGTATAGATAGATAGCGCCACTGTAACCCGCACGCGTTGCTTCCCCGCGGGTCGTGGCCCATCGTTTCATTCATCGACCATATAGATAGATAGCGCCACTGTAACCCGCACGCGTTGCTTCCCCGCAGGTGGTGTGCCTTGCCGCTGACGACTACCACTACGAGAGACCGTACAACCCGATCTTCTACAGTCTGAAGCGGCAGGAACTTGCGAAGAAGCTGAAATTCGATCGCGTTCATAAGAAGAGTACCACCGGCAAGACGGAGGTGCACCACCACTACTACGTGCACGGACAAGGCGGCGGAGGAGGATACGGCGGAGGAGGAGGAGGATACGGCGGAGGAGGAGGAGGATACGGCGGAGGAGGAGGTGGTGGATACGAAGGAGGCAACCAGGGTGGTAGCTACGGAGGTAACCAGGGCCGAAGCTACGGAAGCAACCAGGGTAGTAGCTATGGAGGAACCCAGGGTAGAAGTCAGGGTAGTAGCTATGGAGGAACCCAGGGTACAAGTCAGGGCAGCAGCTCTGGAGGAACCCAGGTTACAAACCAGGGCAGCAGCTACGGAGGAACCCAGGGTAGAAGTCAGGGTAGTAGCTATGGAGGAACCCAGGGTACAAGTCAGGGCAGCAGCTCTGGAGGAACCCAGGTTACAAACCAGGGTAGTAGCTATGGAGGAACCCAGGGTAGAAGTCAGGGTAGTAGCTATGGAGGAACCCAGGGTACAAGTCAGGGCAGCAGCTCTGGAGGAACCCAGGTTACAAACCAGGGTAGTAGCTATGGAGGAACCCAGGGTAGAAGTCAGGGTAGTAGCTATGGAGGAACCCAGGGTACAAGTCAGGGCAGCAGCTCTGGAGGAACCCAGGTTACAAACCAGGGTAGTAGCTATGGAGGAACCCAGGGTAGAAGCCAGGGTAGTAGCTATGGAGGAACCCAGGGTACAAGTCAGGGCAGCAGCTCTGGAGGAACCCAGGTTACAAACCAGGGTAGCAGCTACGGAGGAACCCAGGGTACAAGCCAAGGCACCAGCTACGGAGGAACCCAGGGTAGAAGCCAGGGCAATAGCTACGGAGGAACCCAGGGTAGAAGCCAGGGCAGCAGCTACGGAGGAACCCAGGGTAGAAGCCAGGGCGGC